GTTACCTATCCTATTTTCTGCTCGAATCCACTTTCCTCCTTTTTGCGGATTTTGCCCATTTTCCTACTTGTTGTTATATACCTTTCTCCGCATGATCATATTCTCTTTATATATATATATATATATATATATATCACAGGGGAGTGACTTTTTATCACAGGCATTGTATTGGGCAAGCCTCACCCCATTCAGGTGGTTGGCAATTCGCAATTCGAATTTATGGCAGCTATCATTGTTAGTGTATACAATTTGTACGTTGTGTATCTTCAGCTATCGTTATCTTTAATGTGAAATTTGAAAATTTCCAGAAGGCTGCACACATCTGTCGGAAACTTAACATTTCTTTGATCGCCTTCTCTCAGTTAATGAAATAACTTTAAGGCATTACAATATAATGTATTCATGTATTTATCATGCGTTGATGTTCTTCAATGAAATAACAACAACTCAATATGTCAGGTATTTATTTAATAAGAATGCATTGTATAATCCTATAGTAAACTAAATAGATAGTGTTCAATCCTCATACACGAGGTTATATTTGAGGATAATTTCCGGAGGTAAATACCTTGCAATCTCACACAGAAATGATCTCAGGTTATAATTAATCATATCACTACAAAACTGCTCAATAGTACAATCTTCTTGTAGATTCTGCGCACACAACTTCTGCCCTTCCTCATATTTCCGAATTAGTCTCCTGATCCTTTCATCCTCGTTATCATCCCAAAAAATATTCGTATCGTAGTTTGTTGAATGTTCAGCGTCATGCATCAAATCCGTTAACTGGCACACTAATCTCATGATAGCTGTACGTAGATCCTTTGAATCAGGCCAACGCAATGATGCATAATGCATCCACATCTTGTCAAACCAAAGGGGGTGTACTGCTTCTCGAAAGATAAATATAATGGTCAATATCCAGTGGAACATGGTATTTGTCAAAACAACTTTACCTGCTGCATTTTGCTAACCCAGTTCCAATCTGAACATTTATATTATTTATACCAAGCATATTTGTCTATACTAGCTCATATTTTTTTGAACTAATTACTACTGTCAACAAAGTCAAACTTTATCAAACATTTTGAACGACTACCTGATGGTGTCTTTGGTGAGCTTTGGCCAATATACGCTAAAGAATATTTGTTTAGGGGCTCATTTATATCTTTAATCATAATTTCGGGTATGTTTTCCAACACCCTTTTAGGTAGTCAAACCCTAAACTGGTCAGAATCAGAATCAAGAAGGGTTGCTACTAGGCATTGCCCAAACTTTGATTGAATACTTGAAATATTCTTAATAGGATAAGATAGACATTATTAAAAAAATAAATATAGTGTTGGATAAATAATATAAAGGGATGCTCACCAAATTCTATCTGTTAGGTACTTCAAGAATATTATTTAGTCACTTATCGATGTTAAATGGCTGAATTTGAATGATCAAAGCTGTTGTTGTTTCACCATTTATATAATAACTAGCAGAGTTAGACTACCTTACAGCACCGCTGCATACCCTAAGACATTTGAACAACCCAACCCTCAGATAAATTTCGGGTGGGCCACAAAAAAAATATATAGTCAGCATTTCAATTATTCTGCACCGAACAGCTGAGAGACTTTACAATCGGCAAGGCCATTGTGAGGACAACAATGCCTTAACAACACCTTGCATCGACGACTCCTTTTATATTATAAACGCGTTTATGATCTGAGGACAGAAGCGCGAAAATGTTTTACAGTTCTTGATAAGGGGACCAAACTGCTGTGTGGTTTTACAATTAGCAGGGTCAATTAGAGGGTAACAATGCCTTCCTCGAGCTATTTATACGATACAAATTTGTCAAACAACACGTTTTCGATGTTATGAGGATGGTCATTGAGAGGACTTGGAATTTACCTCACTGCCCCCTTCCCACACCGCACTAACATGGGTGCCGTCGAGCTATTTACCTGAACAGTGTTAGATTACGTTACTGCACAGGTGCATACATGAGTTCAGGTAGTCTACAAAAAATATACTGTCAACATTTCTATTATACCGAACCGATAATAGGTTTTAGAATTAGCATGGCCATTGAGAGTCGACTCTCTTCTACTATACAATAGGTTATTGATCGGGGACCGATCCGTCAAGAGGTTTACAATTAGAATGGTCATTGAGAGGGCTAGAATGCGTTCCATCGAGCTATTTATACGATACAAATTTGTCGAACAGCACGTTTTCGATGCTAACAGGATTGTTATTGAGAGGAGTCGGAATTTAGACACGCCCCGCCCCTTACCACACCGCACACGACGATTGAGAGGGCATAAAATGGTCATATCATCGGAATAAGGTGTAGGGATGACGAGATTGAAGTGGGAAAAGAGCGCTGCTGCTCGTTCGCCCGGTCGATGAGTTATAGTGGCGGGAGAAGGGAGGTGGGGAAGGGGGGACACTCCGTCGACTCATTTCTATTAAACAACACGTTTTCAATGCAATGAGGATGGTCATTGGGAGGACTCGGAATTTAAACACCCCTCCGCCACCGGGAGTAGAGGATTCGGCCTCCCACAACTACTTGTATTCCACAATTTTCCGGTATTTCGACTGAACTTGGCGTTTCTAAAATAAGTGGTGGTTGAGTACCACACAACTTGACTGCTGTGATTGGCTGTTCAGCGGGAATGACCAAAATGTGTTTTGCTGATATTGCTTTAACAATAGGACTGGATACTTGTAACATTGTGAATTGGCATTTTGAAAATTTTGCTTTCTTCAGTAACTCGTTTAGACAACCTTGGATGGGTTCTTGTCGATTCTTGCAGAAGTAGACTTTTCAATTTCTGGACATTCTTCTTCTTCGAATGACTTTTTCCAAGAGCCAAAAAGGGTTGGGTTGGAATAATGGTTGAATTTCTAACAGGAACTGGGTATAGACGGAAAAATTGGAATTTTTCATCAGATAATATAGGAAATCTTATGGAAAACAAGATTTTATTATCAGTAAATGTAATTTTGTGGATCAGCTACTGAGTAGTATGATTGTAAATTTTGAAAGTTTGGTACTTTCTTTTTACCATATAATTTTACTAAATACTTTATGTTTTTCTCTAAGTCTGTAACTGATATGATAGAAATATGTAAAGTGTTCAATTTTGAAAACATTATAGCGTCCTCCAAATTATCTAAAAATGTAATCAAATTTTGACAATTTAGATTAAGTTGCTGCAAAATATTTTCAGCGTGAAGATAAGCTGTCAAGCTTCCTACAGTTGCATTCATCGCATTTTGCAGATGATACAATTTCGCTTTGATCTGTACCTGATTAGAACTTAATAATGAAATTGTAGAATTGTAATTATCTATCAATTCTTTAGTAAGTAAGGTCTGAAGTTTCAGTTGACTATGCACAGAATTTGCGTTCTTTTGTAATTCATGAAGTGCATTATTAATTTTGATTTCGTCATCTGAGTCCATTGTACCAAAAAGAAACTTTGAAGTTTTTCCTACGAGATTAATCAATCCTCGCTTCTGACGAATACGTGGAACAATGTTATCTAATTTTTTCGTAGCTTCTTGTATTAGAAATTCCGTATGCTTAAGGAGATTTGATAGTCCAAAGTGAATGTCTGAATGATCAGCATTTAAAGGCTTGAGAGTATTTTGGAGTCTTTCGTAGTAATTTTGGATATTCGTAATCTGTCTTGTTAATGCAGAAGTTTCTACAAAGTGATCAAAAGTATGATACGATTCTATAATACTAGCGTTACCTAGCGAATAAGGGAAAAGCGGGGCTTTTAAGGGTGTGACAATTGCGTCATTGTTGGCTTTGATTGTCGTGACTAGTAGAAGGGGTAGAATGACTATCGGAATCTTCTTGAGTTCCAGATTCATGACCTTGCGGAAAAGAAGAATAAGCTTTAGGTTTTTGAACTTGAGATTTGTGTACTAAACCCGTTTATTTGTAGTCCGTACTTTGGTACCTAAATCTTTCTTAACTTCAGTCTTTGTGAATCGTGGTTTAAATTTACTCCAAGAAGCGGTTTTATCTTTGACATATGCTTTTGAACCTTGGGGAAATTTGGATGGATCCTCTCTAGTTTCATTACGCTTTTCTATAATATTCTTTTTATGAGCGTCTGTTTGGTGTATATTGTTGTAAATAAATTTTACTCTTTCACGTCTATCATCAATAAATTGGCTGACAATGATCTCATCTGATAGGTCAAATGGATCCAGGACATCTAAGCGGCCATTTATAAGGTCGAATGGTCGTTGTTTTGTAACACTGTGAATTGACGTGTTATATGCCAGAATTTGTTGTTGCATTAGTTCTTTTGGACATAATTTTGGAAATTTGATTTTTAGAATAGAGTTCTAGGAGAGTTGAATGTAATCGTTCTATGGGACTGTTGCTGTTCGAATTACATGGTGTAGTAAAGTGAAGCTAGATTTTGTGTAATTTACAAAATTCTGTAAATAAGGAATTATTGAATTCTCTTCCATTATCAGTAGTAATTGACTGAGGAATGCCGTGATGGTTCACAAATATCAAAATATTTTCATACACTGTTGTGGCTGTACAAACTGGATCTAAATGATAAGCTTGTGCATATTTTGAAAATGAATCAATAACAGTAAGAAATTTTGTGTTAGAAAATTGAAGTGTCCAAATGTAAGACTTCTAGGGGTTGCTTCGGCATTGGTGTGAATAAAAATTTTATTTTTGGTGGATGTCTGTCATACCTTGCTACTTGGCATAACTCACAATTATTTATGTATTCTGTTACCATTTTTTGCATATTTTTCCAGTAGTATAGTTTTTTAAGGGAAAGTAACGTTTCGTTAATTCCTCTGTGACAAGTCTTTGTTTCAGGATGATGAGAAATTAATTCTTTTTGTCTCTCTTTGTCTGAAACATCTCTAACAAGCTGATTGGAAAAATAAAGTTTATATGCGTGGTTTTTGAAATACAAAGGTATTTTGCTAATCTGGATATCTAAATCTTCAATTTATGAACCTTTGATAAAACTGCAATATACTTTGTTTGGATCAACATAGTCTTTGAAAAACTTCATGATTACAATGTGATATCGATAAGATGATTTCTGTTCAGTAATTATCTGATTAAAAAATTTATTAGTAACATATTCAGTGAAAGGTATCTCTAATATGGGGTTTTCTACTGCTGTATGGACTGTAATACTGTCATCATTTGGCTGAGGGGGTACAATTTGGATATCCGAAATTATTTTTATCTTGTTAGAGTTATCAGGAACTTCAGGGGTGAGAAATTCCTCTAGTTCTTGTAAGTCTTTAATATTCATTTCGGGGTTATCATCGTCTTGTAGAAACTAAAGAACATCTTCATCAGAATCTCCAGGATTTGCAATTATTGATTGATCTGTTTCATCTTCAAACAGTTTCCAACGCTAAAGTCTGGGGTTATGTTCTTTCATGTTAAACAAATATTCGAGGGGTTTATGGTCGCTAACTATGGTAAACTCACGTCCCCATGGTTTGAAGTATTTCACACCTTATACTATTGCTAATAAATATTTTTCTATTGTACTATAATAATTACATTCTGTTGGATTTAGAGTTTGTGATGCATAGGCAAACGGTCGATCCTGACCTACTTTTCCTTGGCTAAGAATACAACCTATTGCGTAATTTGAGGCATCAGTAGTTAAAACAAAGGGCTTTTCAAAATCCGGGTATTGTAAAATAGGTTCGTTGGTTAGAATATTTTTGCAAGTTTCAAAGGCTTTTATAAATTCTGTAGTATGTTCAATTTTTGCTCCTTTCTTAAGACATTTCGTAAGTGGTTTTGTTAATTTGGCAAAATTTTCAATAAAGCATCTATAATAACCTAAACGACCTAGGAAGGATTTGATTTCTTTAACTGTTTTTGGAATGGGGAATTGTGTTATTGCTTGTATCTTTTTGGGATTCGGTTTTACACCATCACAAGTAACTACGTGCCCTAAATATTCAACTTCTTTGCATATATATATATATATATATATATAGCATGACAGGGCAAGTTCGATTGTGCGTTCAGGAATTCTTCTCATAATATGCGTCCTAATATTCGACAACATCCACACAAGACAAAATAGAAATGGCTGCTGGTGAAAGAAGGGACTTTTTAAAGAAATGGCTGCTGGTGAAAGAAGGGACCTTTTTTAATTACACTATTCCCAGAAAACTATCTATAAAGAGTGTTTAGTATTTCCGTGTATGCACCTGCTCCTATACATAGCAGGTGGTACCCGAAGCTGTCATGCTATATATTATAAGGGTTCAAATAAAGGCACTGTATAGTGTTTTGGGACAACTTTCAACAGGGAATGTTTGGTATTTCTGCCACAAATCTACGCAATTTCACCTGTGTTAATAGCGAAGGTCTCACGGTCAGGATTCGGTTTCTCAATATGGATAAATACATGATATACTGGGTTGTTGTTATTTCATCGAAAAACATCAACGCATGATAAATACATGAATGCGCGGAAATGATATCATTACTACGGAAAACTAATAAAACAGGAGGTACGTTTCATTATTGTGTAATGCCATTCCTAAGACACACACATATAAGGGCGAGGGGGTGAATTCAAACAGGAGAACGATCAATCGGTAGGTTAGAGGCGTTTTATGATTAGTAACTATACGGCGTGACCTAACCTCTTGTATGCATGCTAACCAATTAGGATACGTAAAGGCATGTAGATTTAACGTTTTTATATTGCCCTTGTGGATAGGTAAACAGGTCTCTGAATCTGAAACGAAAGATAACAGTGGAGGGAGAGTGAAGTGGGTATGGTATGTTCAGGGGTTTTGAATGAATGTAAAAATCAATGTGTCTAGCTTAGTTTATTAAAACAACATATCCAGAATTTGTATTTTTTTTATTGATACAACCATTTCGAACATATAGCGACTACGTAAATATAACACAAAACATAAAACTGAGAGTCCAACAGAAAACGATTACAATACATCATTAATATCTATCCACGAGTTTTTATAATGTGGAAATCCCAACCATTTAACTAACAGCTTGTTGCCCTTTCTCCTAATCACCTTTTCAATCAAGTACTCATTTGGAAATTTTATTTTTCTTAGTTCCTTCTCGTAGAAACAGCCTTTTATTGGACAACCTTCCACGTCTTCTAACATATATGTAACTGAACTTGAATAGTTCGATGTATACCCTTTTTCAAAAAGACTTTTGTATTTGCTTAGTCTGACGATATCGCCAGGTTTAAGCTTCCCTTTTCCAGCTACTTTTGGATGATTGTACACATTCAATCGTGTATGGAAGTCGACTGCGATGGGTCTTTCACCTGTCGTTCGATGTTTCCTGTTGTTATAAAAATCAGTAACATCTGCTAAGATATTGATCCACCGGTAGCTCCCCCTGACTGAAAATTCAGTGAAAAGTAGGTGTTTTGGTGATCGGATAGTTCTCTCAGCAATAGTTGCAGCTTTTTTTGTACTGTATGTGGAAAAATGATTAATCCCATGCTTGTGCATCAGAGCAGAAAATTTGCTGTTGTAGAACTCCGATCGATTATCCGTTTGTAGATTCTTTGGGTGATGGGTAGCCGTTTGTAAAATATCATCCATTGCAATAGTTACGGTTACCGTATCTTTCCTTTTAATTGGTCTGCACCACATGAACTTAGAATAGCAATTGATAACTACTAATATGTATCTATATCCATCATTATCTTCACTGAAAGATTGCATTTCAGCCAAATCAGCTTGCCACAAGTCAGCGAAACCCTGTATGATAGTTCTTCGGGCGGGGGAAATTCCTTCGAGCCGCCATATGTAGCTCCTTGGCTATACCACGTTTTATTTCGCTTACGATAGACATATTCACTACTATGAATACTCTGATGAAATGAGCTTGTATTTGCAGGTATCTAGTTTATTTAGATGGAAGTGATAGGTTTAAAATCGTACTCAACTCGTTAAACTTTTTGTCAAAGTCACGTTTACTTTCCAGCACCTTATCGTTGCGGTATGTCACTGAATCACTTAATACATTGGAAACTCCTAGTCGCATCAATTTACCCATTTCGGTTACAAATTTATTCATGGTTTCTTCAGTATACTTTACAGTCACAGCATCGTTTTTGTCACACGATCACCAGCATTCTTCATCAGTTTTTTTTCAAAATATTATGGTCATATATACCCCGACCCACTGATGATCTCTGGGCGATGATGTTGATATGATATTCAGTAATTTAGCGAAATGTTCAGTTCCATCGTTTCTGAAGTCATATGTAGAACAATATGCTTTACGAAGTACATTAGTTTTAATCATTATATTTTTGAATGTGTTCAAGTTTCGGGAGTCTAAATTCTTTGTATCAGGCAGTTTCCAAAAATATCAAATTGAGTAATTCAGGAGACCTTTTAAAATTCTGTCCTTCTAATTCTCAGAATCTAATAGCAGGTAACGTCCACCAATATCAAAGCTCACTTGGAGTTTGCCTAATAATAACCTGTCCGACTGTGGATTTATTCTCACATTGTATATGCCTCCATACCCTAGATTATTTGCTTTCAAATTCGATATATGGTTATTTATCAAGTTGGTCAAACATCCAGATGCTTCACTATGATTTGAAGTAGACATGTATCTACTCATTGAATTTTCTTCATGCGCTCTGAGTAATGAATGTGTGTCAGATTGCGTTTGCATCGGGGCAATAGTAGAAAGTTTAGTATGAGACAAGTCACCAAATGATGCGTTTCCTGATTTATCTGATTCCATAGATTGTGCCCTAGGTGTGCTTGTAGTCGGTGGAAAGATCTGTTCAAATGGTCAGTGAATTCACTACTGTTCTCACCTACTCAGTTTTTCTTACACCTGATTTTGTCGCATTAAATAATTTCTTTCTTGATTCATCAAATGATACTTTTTTAGGATGCTTGGAATATCGATTTGGGGTGTTGACTGTTTCGACAAGCTGGATGTAGATACTTCCGCTATTGTTTTGAGCTGTTTGGTAATGGGCTCATATACCTGCTGCAACGCAATATCATGGAATTCACGTCCTTTCTTGATAGCAATAAATTTCTTCCGAGCTGACTCTGCTCCATCTACTAACTCCTTCTTGAGTGTCACTTCGGTGTTATTCTGCTGCCGTTTCATTTTGCTATCTTTTAATCCACCGCGATGCGCACTAGATGCAGTCCCGCTATTGATTGATGGTGTCTTTAATCTTCCAGTGGATTTATGAAACTATCAAACCCCTTCCGGTAACGACTACTTGTCAGTTCGCTGTCCTTATCGATGACTAAGAATCCGTATTTATCGCTCCAGCACATTGCACAAATGTCTTGAAATTGCTTAAAGGTCATATCAGGTGCCACATGATAAGAGAAAACATGAGATAATGTGTGTTATCCACCTTGAATAAGACAATTAGGTTAGCGTTGTATCTTATTACTCTTTTGGGCACACAGGAGTAACTCTGCACATAATAGAAGCAATCCACACCTTTGTGCCTACCCATGCTGGAGTATTCTAGAATAGAAGTCTAATTTTCTGTCATTACGTCATCAAAAATGAATATTGAATTCGGCTTGGCTTTCGATGGCGGTAAGATATCACCATTACTGTTAAATGCATAATAACATAAGCCATTGACCGAAGTTAGTTCTTTCTGTATAAATTGATATTTCGGTTGATTCAATGATTTTGACAGTATATAGACGTTTTCAAAGTAGAGTCCATTCTCATGTAGCAGTAACGATACTAATACGTTGGTTTTTCCACAGTTCGATGGTCCAACAATAATACAGCGGATTGTGGATGGGAGGAGATTTCCATGCCGCTGCATAGCATTGTTTTGTATATCCGCCACTTTTGTATCAATATTGCTGATACATAATTCTTGTTTCTGTTTTGTGACCCTTATTGTACAACGAGGTGAGCATGTACAAACTGCAATTGCGTATGTCTTATTTATTTAAATGTCACTACATCGCATTAGAAGGTATCAAATCACTCCAAAAGCTGCTGGTGGTGGTTTTGTCGATACGCTGATAGATAAGTTACCATTCGAAGTACACTTACCTTCTTACCAGTTCTGCGGTCCAGGGACACGTCTTCAAAAAAGGTTAGCTCTAGGTCAGAAAGGCATCAATAAATTAGACGCTGCATGCTTACAGCATGATATTGCATATCAGAAATCTGATTTGACAGCGAGACACGTTGCTGATTATCAACTTGAGCGAGACGCTTGGAAAAGAGTCAAATCTCCAGACGCAAAACTTGGAGAAAAAGCTGCCGTCGTATAGGTATGGGAGGACATGCATCACGGCGTGGACCTAAAGGAAGAAAAGCTATCCCTAGAAAATCAAGTAGATCACAGAAAAAGGTACATTTTGGATCGGGGATAGTGATTAAAGTATGCAAACACATGAAAAGGTTCTTAAACTAAACCAGACAAGAGAGTATTAGATAAGGCGACTTCCGCTGCATTACTTGCTGCCCGGAAGCATATCAGATCCCATCGGTGGAAAATGGCTGATTCAGCTTCCGCGAGGTATATCTATTCCCAAGGTTGGAGGCATCCTTCCTTTGATACCAATTTTTGCCGGTCTTTCAGCATTAGGTAGTCTAGCTGAGGGTATTCCCAACATACCAAGAGCTGCTACAACAGCTAGTTCACTGCGTGAGCAAATACAAAATAAAAGCACTTCACCACCTTCTTCTAATGAGAATCGAATTGGGGATGGTCTCTTTATTCATCAAGTTAAGGAATTCAAAAAACTATTGAAAATCCTCCCCCCTCGACCGCTAACAGATATAGATCTAATCTATTATGCTAGGAAGCTAAAAATACCATATTTCCAAGGAGTATTTATGTGCGATGAAATGTCCGAGCAGGGTCCGCTGAAGAATGAATCAGTCATTATTAATTTAGATAACAATAGTGGGGATGGGTCACATTGGGTTTCATATATAAAACGTGGGATGGTGGTATGGTACTATGATAGTTTCAGCAATCTATCCCCACTCAAGGAGCTAATCAAATATTTGACCAACAAGTCGAAAAAGATAAAAATCTTGTACAATTATAATCGACAACAATAGTTCAATACGTTTTAGTGTGGTCATTTGTGTCTGCGATTTCTATCTGAAGAAACATCAGAGCACTGAAGACAATGGATCACGAACGATTGAAAAAGATTAGAGACTCTCTTAAAGCCTTTTCAAGGGAGAGAAGCCTGTTGAATATGACGCGAGATGAACTTGCACACATACCGAAAGGGGTACTCATATGCTGCACGCCAAATGAAATAGCACATGTACGGAACAAACTAACTACCGGAACATTTGAAGGAGGACGCTGATATACAGCGATTCCAATTCTGCTGGGAACACCGTGGAATAAGCGGGAGTGATGATGAAGCAGATGGACCGTCACCAAGAAAAATATTTTGTTGTTACTGTAACATGCAAGATATCAATGTTAAAAATACATCTGAATCAAACAACTGTTGTAACCAATAAATATTTGGTTACCTGTATAAAACCATGTTTTCATTCATCAACTCTTCAGTCATGTCTAACACATTTACTCTAACGGGTTACACTAGCAAACTGTCTGCTAATTTTTATCCACCAATCGAGTTGAATATAAGTGTGGAATACGGTCTGGGCTTGATTGGCTTTTATTCATACAACACCGTATACAATACTGATGATCAACATAATAAAATATCTCTTACTCACGAGGGTGACGAGAGTAATGTGGTAACCCTTCCTGAAGGTGTTTATGAAATCTAAGATATCAATAAATACATACAACATGAAATAATATCAATGAATGATACATATAAAGAGAGATATGAAAACAAAGTTGATGAAATGTTCTCTTTGAAAGCCAACACTAATACTTTGAAGTGTGAACTCCATTCTGTATTCGATATTGCTCTGTCCAATTCCATGGCAACTACGCTTGGACTTAAGAACAAAATTCTTCCCAGAAACAAAATCTACACAACGAATTTACCTGTAAACATCTGGATAATAAGAGTGGACTGTGGATTAATATCAGGAGCTTATTGCAATTGCAATGAAATGCACACTTTGTATGAGTTTGATATAGACGTTGAACCGGGATTTAAATTAACAAAGGAGCCTCAGAATGTAATATATATGAGCGTTAAACTGCGTGGACGCCAGTTTATTGATAGGAAATTTTGGATGACGTTGGGAATTTGGTCAACTTTGGTGTCAAATTAGAACTGCGACGCCTGTCTAGTGCCAGCTGAAGACGATGGAAGTTTTTAGTGGTAGGATACCCCTAAAATATATAATTGGATTCGCAGAAGACTACAAAAAAGCGGTTCTAAATATAAAACAAGAGCTTTTGTTGGTTATTGCAAGATCCTTCAAAAACTGTTATGTAGGTGAATGTGTAGCTGAATTGACTATATCCAACACATCGCTCCGGAAGATCGTTACAAAGTCAAGCTTCTGCAAAGGTTAAATAAACATGTGAGCTCAAGGATCAAGGTAGCATTTCGATCTTGGGATCTCTATGAGCTTCCATCTCTTCGTTCTATATCATCGGATGTTTGGGCAATTAGAACAACCAGTGAACCAGAGAGTCCTCTATTCGTTATCATTGGATTTCAAAATTCTACATTTGAAGAAAATCATTCGATGGATATAACGAAATTCATAAATGCCAACGTTAACTCGATTCGCTTGAAGTTGAACAACCAAGTATTCCCATATGAAAGGTGGAATTTGGATTTAGAAAAAAAGCTCAACACTGCAGCTTATTATGCATTTGAGAACTTTCAAAAAACATACTACAACCGGAACATTCCTGAACCTATGATGGATATTAAAGAATTTAATGACAATCCGCTTTTCGTTATTGATTGCAGTCATCAGCTTGATCATCTCCAACTTTCAACTGTCGTCATATCTTTGGAATTTGAGACCAGGAAATCTGCATTTCCATTCCACACCAAGGTGTATGCATTAGTTATTCATGACTCATGCTTCAGTTACAATGCTTTTGATGGGTCTATCCAAAATGGACTTATTCATTCCTATTAAATGTTTTAAGTTTTAAGTGTGAAATAAAACTCATTTTCTTACTACATGTTGATTTTATTTACCTGTACAAGCTTGACGTAACCTAAATCTAATACTTACAAACTTCCTTTAACATTAATTTTATTAATAAGTCTAAATTACCATTTTCAGTGTGCCTTCTGCAATATCATTGATTGCACCTATAGCATATTTAATATTGAACGAGGGGTCAGTCTGGTAAAACTCAATGTCACAGTGTCCCCAAGGTAAAGTTTTTGTGGTGTTAGGAAGAATAAACCTTTTATCATCATCATGTGCTAGAACAACCTTATTTTTCACCTCGGGGTACACATCATGTAGTTTGCTTTTAAAAGTGTGTATCTTTTTCAATATCCGCCCACTTACTTCGATTATTCTCTTATAGTCATCCTCAGACAGCTGCATCTGTATATTGAATTCATTGTTCTGCTTATAATTTGATGTGACAAATTCATTGAACATTCAACCATATCCTCCATCGATTCATTTCTATTATCCGACACGTTGCTGATAGCGGTAGAAGCGCTGAGAGGTTTTTACAATTGCTTAACACAGGCCTCTCCAACTTGGGTGCCACAAGGGCAGCGCCGAGCACGGGAGCACCGCTCGCCCATTTCCAGCGTCAATTGACGCTCGGTATTTTGGATGTCCGATTTCATTAGCATTATACTTTCTATGAAAGCGTTTATACCTGTCCGACTGTTCGCCTGCTTGGTGGGGCAGCAGCATACACATCGGACAATGCGATAAAGGTTTTATGGTAGCCGTAGCGCTCGGCGAATAGAAATGGTGCGAAAGCTGGTCACACTGAATCTACCTTCATCGTGGATTCGACTAAATTTACCAATAATATGTAGTTTTTGTGTAAATGAACAAGAAGAGCTCGATATGACGGGGCTCATCCTATCATACCGACTTGAAGATAAAGCGTGAAAGAAGAATGTCACCGTCTTGGTCGAATCCAATGAAGCCTACATAAGTTTGAATGAAATTTTAGGCTCATTTAAAAAAACTTGAAATGAAAAACTTATTTCCGCCAGCAGCTCCTATCGTACCAACTGCTGAAAGCTAGAGCAGTCAATGCAAATAGGTATAGATAAAAATAATACCCCAGTTCGTATGCTTTATGTTTGCATTCAAGAGCTCGTTCGAGTTTGTCAGTATGACACATGGCTACTAGATGTTTGAAAGTATACGTAAAATGAATATGACATACGTATAAGTTATAGTAGAATCCTACCGTCACGTTGTATCTTCAAGTCCGTATAAGAGGTACTTTCAGCAGGATCCACACCAAGCATATCAAGCCCTTTTATTCATTTACTTAAAGAATACATATTATTATCGAGTCTAGTCGAATCCGCGAATTCTGTGTATCGCCTCTATGAACACATCTGACTATGATTCCCTCTTCAGAACATTGAAGGGCTGACCTCAGTTCATCAATCCGTACTCATCTTTCATCGTCAGTACTGTCATCATAATCGGTAGAATGTTTGTCTACATAATGTCGGTGAATACTATGATTTAACGTTAACTATGGTGTGGCAAATTAAACATTGTGCTTTCCATCAGTATACACAAAAAAACTCTTCTTCCCATACAGAATTGAATGAGAAGGTTTAAAAAAAATACGCGTGTTAAGACCACTTTGTCTTGTCCTATTAAGAAATGGCCTGCGGCCGGAGGATAGTCCGATATATTTTGCTTTCAGTCGCGACGGCTGTGCGGTCCAGGAGGAGGGGGAAACTTCAGTGGACCTCTCCACAAAACGTCTGCCGAAACATTTCTATTGAACGAGACGTTTTCGATGGTATGAGGATGGTCATTGAGAGGAATCGGAACTTAAACACCCCCCCTTACCCCACCACCCCTTACCACACCGAACCATCATGGGTTCGTCGAGCTATTTACCTGAGCAGAGTTAGATTACGTTACTGCACAGGTGCATACAAGAGTTCAGTTAGTCTATAAAAAATACTGTCACTGTCAACATTTCTATTATACCCAACCGATAATAGGTTTTAGAATTAGCATGCCCATTGAGAGTCGACTCTCTTCTATTATACAATAGGTTATTGATCGGGGACCGAAGCGTGAAGAGGTTTTACAATTAGAATGGTCATTTAGAGGGCGGGAATGCCTTCCATCGAGCTACTTATATGACACAAATTTGTCGAACAACACGTTTTCGATGCTAAGAGGATTGTCATTGAAAGGAGTCGGAATTTAAACACCCCCCGCCCCTTACCCCTCCACACAAACCACCCCTTCACTACCCCCGGGAGGTTTTATAAATGGCACTTACATACTGCTGGACGCGCGTACACTTTTTATTTCGACGTCCTGAGTTCGGTGATAGGATGGTCGATTTCGAAGTTGTGACGTTCACCGAATAAATTTTTGAAATTTATGCGTTTAAGTAGGATAGTAGGATGCAGTAATTTCTCTTCAGCCGCTTACCGATTGACTGGATAATTGAGGTATAAATAGGTAAATATTATATTTGCATTTAGAATTGAAACAACGATAAAAAACCTTCAGCTGCAGTGGCAATGATAAGAATATATTACAGGATGTAGAAACCCAATGAGTCATCAAAAGAATCGTTTTCGAGGCTCCACGTTATTTTCATAATTATCCTCGCAAATCAGTTTGATCACCGGTAGTTGTTAATCTACGACCATGACAAGAGATTTAGCAGTTCTTGAGCCGCGTCTATACGTTGGACTGACCTACGCCAACGCAAATATGTAAAGAATAGACAATGGGCGATGGTGATAAGCATTTGACGATGTCTTCTCTGCACACTCGCTGAGGAAACCAATAATAATGCTCATTGATCTAGTCCTAGTCTCAATGTATCGGTGTACGTTAGCTTGACGTGTAGACACGGCAGTATGCTCTGCTGTTCAACTTACCTGCACAGGACTTCACACCTTTTTTGTGGGGTTCAGGGATTTTTTACGTTTCCAATTACATATTGATAATGGAAGGCCTGTAAGTATGTGTGTGCATGTCAGAGTTGAAATTAAACATTATTCCCCTATATTTCAATCGAGATAAGAAATTATGTACAAACCATTAATTGAAAGTTCCATCAATTTTGTATATTTTCTGTTTTGATAGAGTATAACAAATTATTTTTGTATTCAAATATGTTTGTATTACATTTGTTACTTTACATTTCATACATATAGTTGTACAAAAACCCTCACTTGAGCCAATGAAACCTACAATAGCATGTAAGTGGAATTGAAAGTATATACGGCTCAATGTTATATCCACCCCAATCTATTACAAGTAGGATAAATCATTGAAGATCAAAGTCATTAAAGTCGTAGTCGACGTCATCTTCGATAATTTCCTCGTCATCGGTCGTTAAGTAATCATTATCGGGTTCTACGGTAGTTTGTCCACCGTCCTCCTCACATGCATCTGTAGTCGTCGGAGTTTCGCTACCATGGGGTTCTGTAGCAGTCCGTCTCTTTGAGTTGTTGCACGATTTTCCGCGGGATACTTTGCAAGCCGAGTTGCTCTTTAGACCGGCTTCTCGGCAGTGACTCGCTTCGATTTGCATCCACAGGAAACCTGAAAAAAGGTTATTATAAGAATTATTATAATCTAAATATCAGTAGTCTTGTAAGGGAAATCAATGACAGGCCTTTTATAATACTCCAAAAATTTGTTATTTTGACTTGAAACTGGATCTCACATTTTTCAAAAATTATTTTAATTCCGATCAGACAGTACATGAGATCAAAAGCGTAGTAAAAAATTAGCTGTAGCAAGTTGTATTTAGTGCTTCAAATTGAATACATTTCACACATACCTCTGGTAACAGTTCTTTTGGTGCGGGATCTGCTTCAGACATGATCGGAATGAGAATATTACCCTGTCTTGTCCATCCCCACAAGCAGGGATCCAATCTGTGCTGAAGCAAGGCAGGAGATGTTGGTGGGAGACATTCTAGGGGCCTTTCCTTTTTTGCGTTTGATAAGTTTGTAGAAAACAAATTGTATTTGAAGGTCCCGAGAGAAGAAGACTGTTCTTTGTTTTTGTATAATGCGAGAGTAATAGTCTCTGTACATTGCAACAATTCCTCTTCCAAGCAGTCCGGCTTGTAAAACTTCAGAGCCAGCGTTGTAATGGTGTCGTTCTGCAGCAGCAAGTTCACCAGTTTCATCTTCCCTTTCCCAAAAAAGCAGTAAGTACTGTCGCAGCCCGCAAACGCATGAGCGAAAATAATAAATGGTTGCAAATGTTTGTGATCCCGTGTATCGTACATTGATTCGCCTTGCCCCCCTGGCCCATCTTGTAATAGTACATAATAATAAGTAATATTAAGAGATCAACATCCGAGCCGACGACTATAACTCGTGATTTCCCGTGACGAAACAGTTCGTTATGAGTCTTCAGAGCTGTTCTCATAATCTCAACATCCGCATCTTCTTTCGCACGGATCACTGTAAAATTGAATCCCTCATATGTTGCAAGAGTTTGACCGAGATGATAAACAAATTGAGCCTTGTTTTTCACGTTGGACAAAAATTTTCTTTGGTTCAATGGGAGGAAATTGTCTGGTTCAATTTCAACGTCCACGCCACAATTTCTTTCTTGTCTACGGTCTCGCTCGTATGATTTGACACCTTTATGTTCATCTTCATATCCGTCAAAGACAATAATGACGCTTCGACCAAACCGCTTAACAAGAAAGTTCTTGTACATGTACTATGAGGCCAAACGAGGCTGGAAGCAACCACCCTCCGACTACAACAAACTGAGAATCTTCAAAAAAAGCTCGCGAGGATAGGGTAGTAGTGAGCATTTTATATAACTGTTACTTGTCGGTCTTTCGCATTGATCCTTTCTCGTCGAACAAACTAAGAGCCTTCGCACACTACGTCATATCGTAATCGTATCGTAATACGCGAGTAGGACGAGGGCAAAACGAGCTCGTATGTGTGCTAACACGTCCGCGCACGAAGCGGTCTGGCGTAAGGCAGGCGTAGAAGCAAGCGTAAAATTTATTATCATCTTCTGAAAGTCCACGTGCAGCAATAAACAATCTTTTCTTTTTATTACTTGCAATGTATGGATGGGTCCAATGAGCACGTTGCCTTCTAATCAAACAATAAAAAATCATCTTCGTTTGAAGAAAATGTAAGATCATCAATGGATACACCAGAAAAATCTGGTACCGTTGACGTCATGATTTCAACTGAGATCGTACAAAGCGATACGAGTACGTGACGATACGCTTACGAAACGACTACGCTTACGATGCGTGTGCGAAGGCCCTAAGTGGAACAGGAGACATTTCGTAGTCGAAGCAAGATTTACTCAACTCTTTCCTTCCACGTTTAGCCACAGACAGACGTTGAAATAATAGAATAGAGACACTGGCGCTCCCACGAGGAGAGGGAGGTAAAGGAGGTAATTACCCCCCCCCCCAGACGACTCGAGCAGTCTTTGAAAAGGTGGTATAAAGTAAACGTCTTATAAAAAAATCTGTAACTTTAAGAAAGGATAGCGGCAATACTGCCAACCCCCTCAGTGCGCATGCGACTAGCGACTACTCTCCCACCAACAGTAACGGTGTGCGCTTCTTCCTGTTGGAACATGTATAGTCTAGTCTTTTATGGTCTAGTCTAGTGTCTAAATTCTGTACCAGTCCGGAGTCAGCAACAAAATTTGGCTGAGAAGTGAACAAGCAGAGTTTTGTTGATCTGGTTGGTATTAACGCTATTTTCTATGTTCTATTGATTTTTTATTTTCCACGCATGAGCCAGAAAATAAATTTTTTTGGTTTTAATTTTTATGCTATAAAAGAATCGTGTCAAAAAAAATGACAGACGAAAAAATGGAAATTTAATATAATTTCAATTACGATGTATTTGGTCCATACTACAGCTATCATTATCATCTATGTCTATTTTGTCTCGGAAGTCCCATGAAAAATTTAACTTATTGAGGTGTGCAATAATCCCTAATGACTATTTCAAATATCCCTATTCCACACACTTGAAAAATAATAAAGAAGTGAAATGTACTTATCAAAAAAGAAATCTTGAATATAGTTTTAAGTCGCGTCAGGCAAAGTCACTGTTACAGTATTTTATTTGACGAAACTACAGACGTTAGCCATAAATCGCAAATGTCAATCGTATTGCGGTATTGTTATGAAAAACGTATTTACGAGGACTTCATGGGATTTGTAGATTGCTACTCAAATGTTGATGAAGATACAAGGGAGCCCAAACCCACAAGTCAAATTCTTGCTCAAACAGTCAAGCATTTCATTGAAACCAATAACTTAAACTCAAAACTGTGTGGGCATTGGTACTGATACTTGTAACCTAATGTTAGGTGAACAAAAGGGAGCTGTAATGGAATTGCAAAAATGTTTGCCAAATGCTCTAAAAAGCCCATGCTCAAATCATGCCTTGAATCTTTCGCCTTGTATCTGCCCCTCTGTGAAAGTTGATGGGTCTGCTGACACATTAAAAACATGATGACTTTTGAAGCATACACGTATATCTTTCCCCCCCATTATACTGCACTCAACTTTCTCACCGTAACGTTTTTTAATGTGATCTGCTACAGTCCTTTTATCTATAGAGTCATCATTCACAAGTTCTACTAACTTCGACAAATAATGAATAACATTTTTGTCCTCTTCAAGAACTTGCCACACAGGCTCTAACAATGAATCGATTCTAGATCAGTTTAGATCTTCAATATTTTTGTTAAACCATGCGCATTGAAATGAGACATGCATGTCCGGTGATATCTGTCTTGTACGCGAATTAAGCAAATGTTTTGTAATCTTTCAACAACGCTAATTCCCAAAGAGTAATTTCTTTCTTTCCCATTGCAATCAAATTACCACGCGTCTCTTTTTGTGGTGCTGCACAGATTTTTGTTTTCGCACCTTTTATTATACTCAAGCCACAAATGAAGCAATTATCCGCGTAATGGAAATCAGGAACCTCATCGCTCGAAGCTAATTTGTAATTGTTATCGGGTACATTCAACGCAAAATGCTGAGTATACGTTCCACTGCCCGAGTCTGAAAGTTTACACTTCTCATGACAATCCAGCTTTTCCTTTTTTTCTCAATCCAACCATTTTTTGTCTTCCACGCGTTTGCTCTGTGTGATTCCCTTCTTCCCCACGGTCCTGCAATTGCCGAGCGCCAACGGATAACTGCAAATGGCGCAGTAACTATTTTGCTGCATTTTATTCCTACTGAATAACAGAAACAATTTCAGTGAGAATCGGTTTCCAGTAAGTGTAATGTAATTTTCGATCCAGTCAGTCTAATAGGTCTGACTTTTGTTATTAATACCAGAACATAGTGCGAATGGAATTGGAAAACATACTAAATTTTGGACAACATATACTGAATTTGGACTGTACTACTTGTTACTAAAAAATACAATACTAACATGGGAAAATGAAAACAAATTTCGTTAAAAAATCCATCGCGGATAACTTTTCGAATTGTAGGTTGGCTTTGTCCATAATTTCTTGTCTCCAATGAAATTACGGAAAAGATATTTAACTTCAATTCTAAAATGTACACACACTTACCTCACATATCCAGTCAATCGACAAACAATTCAAGAGAAATTACTCCACACAATTAGTTCTTTCGGAAAAGTCGGTGAACGCCAAACTGACAAGCGAGCTCAGAGTTCGAAATTCAACTGGACCATTAGTGAATAAACCCCACCATATAGTAAGAGATCGTCTGCGTCGTCAACGCGTGGACGTTGCGGCGGCAGGTTGGTGGTATACAGGTACGCCGCCCCTGTCCGCTCAAACCTCTCGCCCAAAAGCCATCAGCAAGCTGTACCGCGAAAACTAAACAATTTAGCAAAACATTTGCAGAGACCTTTTTGTTGATGGCCCAAACATAAGAAAAATTTACGTGTAAAAAAATCCCAGATATCCTCAGCCGTTTCAGCGAAAACGAGGTTTTTTGGGTTTTTCGCTGTTTTACGGAAAACCAAATTCATACAACAATATTCGCAATCCGTTATTACACCATTACGCTAGCGGAAATAACTTTGTGGCTATGTTATCACTTTTGTCTCAGTTTCGGCTATTTAACTGGACTTATATGCTTCATTGACATTACTGCACGCGACACGACAGGAGAGTTGTTTAATGTTGTTTTGGAAACAAATTTAGGATCAACGGTATTAACTAAGGTAGAGTATTTTAAACACAAAAACTGCGCTAGTTTTATCAGAAGAAAACACTATATCTCTGAGCCACAGAAGCAAAGCGAATCTCAGGCTTTGGATTCTCCCATCACTAGTGTGATGAAGTGACAATTTGTTCCTCCTTGGATTACATGAAATAGTGATATGCTTTCTAGTTCGTTTCATTAAGTTGCGTTCACTTCTAGGAACTGGTTCGTGAACAAACTACTTTATGCAGCAATAAAACAACAACAAAAATGTATGTACAGAAACAGAGCAGATATCCCAGTCTCTCAGTCGAGATAACCTAAAAACGATTCAATTCATATTTTTTAACCGTTCCAATGCTTTCCACTGATTGCAAATGTATTCTCCCATCACTAACATTGTGAGACACTAATTTCAAATGTCAATTCTTCTTTGGTCTATTCTCCTTCTCCAACGTTACTGTAGTCGATCTTTTGTTGTTTTAAGCTTGTGTTATTTATGAAAAATGGATTTTCTGTATAAAAAGTGCTCCCTCCAAGTTCTTTCTTCTGCAGACTTACATATTACACTGTCGTGTACACCTTAAATCTGTACTAACCCCCAAATAGGTAGTTATGTTGAGTGTACCATGTACCATCACCGATGGGGCGACTGATTAAACACTGAAATCAAAACAAAAAACTGCAACTGCAATTGTATGTGTGAATCTTGAAATCTTAAACATTTTCGGACCAGTGGTGTCAAAATGTCGTTGAAGAATTGGAAAGAAGTGTACGAATGTGTTGAAATGCAACACCTAACAAAAATTTGACTGAAAAGGCTTTTTCATGTAAGGGTTTGAAAGTGCAAGTTTGCAAATGTAGGATAAACTATTAACACACATTAGGTGATGTTCAGTTAATATAATCACATATGGATTACAAAAGTTGCAATAAACAATGAGAAACCTTCAGCTAAACTGAAAGAAATGGATTTTACTCTGACATCAAGCATTTTTTTTTAAATTTTGGCTCAGTTTTATACAGGGTGACTTTGAAGTTGAGTCATTAATTTTCAGATAATGATTG